TCCTGTTACAGTAGGCACAAAGCCTCTCTTTTATGATCAGAAATATGACCCTATATTGTGTTCATAAATGGTTCCCAGGAAAGTTGGGAACAATGGCTCTCATGGTTGTTCTTCGTGGCACCCATCGTATTGGTTATTTATGTGGCTATCACACCCATTCATTAATCTTCTGAGGTAGGTAGAAAACTGCTTTCTGAATCGTTCCTTCTTGTTATGACAGAAAATTTTAAGATTTTATATGCCAGATATAGCAGGCTCTTCGCAATAGGATCTAGGCCCCAATGGCCAGCACATTTAACTAACGGAATATTATGTCATCCTTCCTCGTTCACTGTGAATGCTGTTAGAGGATTTATTCATGTGCCTGAGGGTGCCTCATAACGGTAAAGCTCAATGTTCAATGTTGTTCATACTCCCTTTCTGTCAGTGCCTGCACCGATTATAATTTTCCATTTTAAAATGAAGGGTTTGAAATAAACTATTTCTAACATTCTTAGTTACTCTACATTTTGGGCTTTGTAGATTGTTTTCATGCCTCACTAGACCGAGGAGGAGTTATCAGTTGACCTTGATTTCTTATCCAGCCTCCATTCCCCAAAGCCAGGAGGCAGTGCTTATGAAAGCCACCAGCTTTCCACAGGGGAGAGGTAGTAGCTGCCCTTTCCTTCCCTATCTATGGTTTACTCAAGACTGCCCCCAACCTGAGAACTATTGTAAGTTCTCCAGTCCTGCATGATATTTATGAATAAAAAAGCTGCCATGATAGGTTAGCTATGGAATAGGTCACAAATTTGGGTGTGCTTTAAAATCACCTGGAGACCTAGACCTACTGAATCAGAAACTCTAGGGACCTGGGCATCTGTCCAGATGATTCCGTTGCCTCCTAAAGACTGAGAGCCGCTGAGCTACCATAATCCCTTTGTTCCTTTGTTTTCTCTTATGTAAAATTTTATTGCTCACTGAAAGAAGTGAGCAATAAAGCAATTCCTCCTTCCTTCCCTATTGGATCTAGTTTTCTGGACAGATTATATGCATGCCTGAAAAGAAAATTAGAAAGCAGAAGCAGATTTCTGGTAGTTGGTTGTGAATTTTCTTTTGAATTCTTCACCTCCACGTGAATCAAAGCCGGATTTACTTTAGCAATGTTATGAATACAGTTTACCAGAACTTCTTACATTATCCTTTAATCACAGTGAGATGGAAAGTCAATGGAATTGTTTGATTTTTCTTTCTCATTTACCATAGTTCTCTTTTTAGGATCTCATAGTACAGAATCAAGCTACTGGATACTGAGGTATTTTGATGTTCTTTTTGTGCCCACGTCTATATTTTAGTATAACTTTGGCAAGGTACATATTTTTAATTTTTTTTTTTGAGATATTCTTAGAAATAGCAGCCTCTTAGTTGACTTCCTGTTGTAGTTTTCCTAATGCTTGCTCCTGGGAAAAAAGGAGACCTTCTATGTCAATGTGAGTGAGTCGTCTGGGGCTGGGCTGAGCCAGGAAAGGTGAAGGCAAGGTGAAGGCCTCCTTTTGGTCCACACCTTCATAGGGAGTCTCTACATGCCCGGGATCCTTCCTTCCTGTCTCCTTACTGCATTATGGACTTGGGCCTTCAAATGAGCTTAGGCCTTCGCCTGATCAAGGACCTATGACTTTATGGTTGTTAGGTCTCGAGAAGGAATGATTTCTCTGAACATCTTCCAAGACCATTTTCTATATGGTTGAATTGCACTTTGCTCGTCATATGGTAAATGAGATGATTTGCCCAGATAGCTTTTTCATTGCTTTAGGAGAGCAATACAGAGCATAGGACCTGTCTAGGACTACTAGGATACCTAGAAATGATCCCTTGTGTCCTGGTGTGTGGCACTGTCTCTTAACCACCATTACCTTCCATTGAAGTGTCTTGTAAGACCTGGCCAAGATGCAAAGAAGGCATCATCTATCACCTATTCTTGCCCATCTATCCCATCCACTTATTGCATAGTAGAATGTATGGGATACTAACTTAAACAGATAGATATAGCTCAACTCCAAGCTAGATGGCTAACATACTTTCCCCAAGTAACATAAGGTGTTGACCTGATTGTAATATATACACTTTAAAGAAGGAACTAAGGTGTTAGTCTTTTAAACAAATAGTATCTATAGTTTCATTTAATAATGAAATCTACATGGACATTATAAAAATTTTGGAAAATATAGAAAAGCACAAGGAAATAATTAAAACCATGTTTAATTCCACAACAGAAAGAAAACTACTATTAACGTTTTGATATGTATTAATCAATTTTTGTTTCAAAACCTGTGTGGTAGTATTGCACATTCTCTTCTCTTTACCTACTTTTTCTACCTAAGAGAGTATTTATGCTTTCATGCCATTTGATAGCCTTCTAAACTCTGTGACCTATGTAGCAGCCAGTGCCTTATTATTGTGCATTTAACTTATTTCTGAATTTCTGAAAAAACAATGTGGGGATGAAAATATTTATAGCTATGAGTTCATACAACTTTGCATATATCCTTGGAATAAATGCACAGAGGTCTAAACAAATGCATGCATGAAAAGTTTTTGATACATGTTGCTACACTGTCCTCCAGAAAGCTTCTATGAATTTACCCTCCTATCAGAATTTTTTGAGAGTTCCCAGCATACTTACCCCTTTAAAAAATTATTATTTTGTAAAAATTCCTGCTAACTTGGTAGGGGGAAAAAAAATCTCAGCAGTTTAATTTGTACTTCCTTGTTTAATAGTAAAGTCTTTTTTTTTTTTTTTGAAACAGTGTCTCACTCTTTGCCTGGGATAGAGTGCCGTGGCGTCAGCCTAGCTCACAGCAATCTCAAACTCCTGGGCTCAAGCAATCCTTCTGCCTCAGCCTCCCGAGTAGCTGGGACTACAGGCATGTGCCACCATGCCCGGCTAATTTTTTATATATAATTTTAATTGTCCAGCTAATTTCTTTCTATTTTTAGTAGAGATGGGGTCTCACTCTTGCTCAGGCTGGTCTTGAACTCCTGACCTTGAGTGATCCTCCTGCCATGGCCTCCCAGAGTGCTAGGATTACAGGCGTGAGCCACCATGCCTGGCCAATAGTAAAGTCTTTTATGACGATGCTTTTATAGCTTTGCTGAAGGTTATTTAGTGTAACGGTTAAGTGGTGCTATTCTGGAGCCTGAGTGTTCACTTACTGGTGACCTTGGCTAAATTCCTTAATCTTCCTAGGCTCATTCCGACTCTCATAATGGTAGTACCTACTTCATAGAGTCTGTATGAAGAGTAAGGCTATCACGTGAAAGGTGCCCAGAAAGTATCAGGTATACCTAAAATACAGTTATGGCCTCTGTCATTTATATTTCTTCTTATATGAATTGCCTTTTCATTCTCTGTGGGTGAGTGGATTTTTGGTAGTTTTAAAATATATACATTAAGTGACTTAACCCACTATCTGCCATATACTGCAATTTCCCGCCGATTTGTGGTTTGTCTTTAAAGTTTGTTCGAAGTGAAAAAATATTTGAATAACAAGAAATTCAGGCCAGGAGAAGGTATAGTTTTGGTCCAGGCTGGGTCTTCATTCTGTCTCTCTGTTATACTGCTAGGAGAGTGACCTGTCCCATTGTAGAGAAAGTCTAGTATTGATTTTAGTCACCAAATAGCAGAAATGGCATTTTATGCAGAAAAACTTGTTATATTAAAAATCACCATCATAGAATAAAACTTCTGTTTAATTTATGTAAATAGTGATCACGGTAGAAGAGAAGCCATGGTTAATATTTCACCATTTTCCATTTATCACTAAATCCAACTTGTCAGTGTTCCCTTAACGGTACCATAGAATTCATTACTTCGACTTGAAAGAAGCTTTTAATTTAAGATCAAGATCCCTGATAGATTGTGTGGCCATTAAGTGCTACTACTTTTCCATTCTTTTCTGCAAATTTTATAGAAGAAAGACAATCTTTCTAGCCACAAAGTCTCATGTACAAGGGCAAAATGTTCCTGATTTTGGCATATATACATGCTACTAAAAATGAAACTTTTCACCTCACTGGAAAAGATATGGACATAGAGAACATTATTCTCCCTTGCAAAGCAGGGAAATGATGAGAACCATCTTTGTGAAAACACGGAAATTCTGCGTGAGCTTCCATCTTGTTTCAAAAAGCTATTAAAAGTGGACAAATATTGCTGCCGCATGATAGATAAATGGGAGTGTGTTATTGCTACCAGGCTGAGTATGATTGAAATTTTCTGTACAAAATTTTTTTGTTTTTTTCTTTTTAAAAAAACAGTGTTGTTAATGATGCTACCATTAGGGAATACTGGGGAGAGGAGGAAGGAAATATCAATTTCTAAATTTTATACTTCCTTATTAGATTTCTGTCTTTGTTTATTTTATTGTTTTACTTCAAGTATATTTTACTTTTACAACATTATTAAGAGAAAAAATTTTAAGTCATAATTCACATGGTAATTATTATTTTAAGAGTTGCTAGTCTGGACAGGAGGGGATGCTCATCGGTGCAGAAACAGACAAAATAGGCAACGTTTAGCATTGGCCCCAAAGCCTTGTAAATTGACGGTCCTTATTAAAAACCCTTATGTTTCCAAGTCTTTTCTTCTTATTTTTCCCTTTTCTATGTCTGTTTTGATTTGTGATGACTGGAAAAGGTAAAGTAAGAAAAAGAGCTGGTTTCCCAATGCAATCTGAAATTTAAAATTGCTGATCGAGTTCTATGCACCTGCGATATTTAGTGGCAGATGCCCACAGGCCTTAAAATACAACCCTGTTCGTGCCTTTCAGCTATGTTATTTCTATACTTGTAAGTAAAATGCTATAGAACATTTAGCTCCTTTGGTGCACTTATTACCCACACCCAGGAATAAAGAATTGGAAGTGCTGAGTAGAATGTTTCTTTATCTTAAGCTTCAATCCCCTGAATGCAAATACTTGACTCTCGCTAGAGGAATTTGACTTCACTCTCTCTACTTGCAGGCAAAATGAAGGACCGGCTAGAAGAGCTTCTGGAGTTGTCCAAGCGCTATGACCAGCAGTTCCCAGACGGGGACGATGACCTGGACTCGCCCCACGAGGACATCGTGTTCGAGACGGACCACATCCTGGAGTCCTTGTACCGGGACATCCAGGACATTCAGGACGAAAACCAGCTGCTGATGGTCGACGTGAAGCGGCTGGGAAAGCAGAACACGCGCTTCCTCACGTCCATGCGGCGCCTCAGCAGCATCAAGCGCGACACCAACTCCATCGCCAAGGCCATCAAGGCGCGGGGCGAGGGCATCCACCGCAGGCTGCGCGCCATGCGCGAGCTGAGCGAGGCGGCCGAGGCCCAGCACGGGCCGCACTCGGCCGTGGCGCGCATCTCGCTCGCGCAGTACAACGCGCTCACCCTCACCTTCCAGCGCGCCATGCACGAGTACAACCTGGCCGAGATGAAGCAGCGCGACAACTGCAAGATCCGCATCCAGCGCCAGCTGGAGATCATGGGCAAGGACGTCTCGGGCGACCAGATCGAGGACATGTTCGAGCAGGGCAAGTGGGACGTGTTCTCCGAGAACCTGCTGGCCGACGTGAAGGGCGCGCGGGCGGCGCTCAACGAGATCGAGAGCCGCCACCGCGAGCTGCTGCGGCTGGAGAGCCGCATCCGCGACGTGCACGAGCTCTTCCTGCAGATGGCAGTGCTGGTGGAGATGCAGGCCGACACCCTGAACGTCATCGAGCTCAACGTGCAGCAGACGGTCGACTACACCGGCCAGGCCAAGGCGCAGGTGCGCAAGGCCGTGCAGTACAGGAAGAAGAACCCCTGCCGGACCCTCTGCTGCTGCTGCTGCCCCTGCCTCAACTAGCCCGGAGCTCACCTGGCAGCCTCCGCCCCCGCCGCCCCCAGCCCCGACTGGGACCGCCCGGGAAGCACGCTAGAAAAGCCCACCAGAGCCGGGCCTCTGCACTGGGCCAGTCGCCCCAGCTCCTTGGGGAGCTCAGTCTTTAGGGAAAGAGGAAACACGAGGTTCAAGAATTCCAGCCCAGCTGGTGCTTGGAAAGATAGGTGATACCTTCCCGTGGTTCTTCAGTAAAGCCAGATTGCTGCCAAAGTTGTGTGAAGTCATTATAGACACACTGGACTCCTACCCTCTCCACAGAAGCCAAATAAGGAACTGACGGGTTAATGTCCAAGGCGGGCCTCCTTAAAGACTCAAGGAGGAAAGTACTTTTGCATCCGCATAATAGCATGAACTCATCATCAAAACTTCAATTTGTTTACCCTGTCCTGAAGGTTCCTTGGGTCGGTTCAAATTTGAGTGAAACTGACCTTGGAAAAACCTTTACGTCCCTTCTTTCTGACTCTTCATATAGTTTATGGCTGCTATGTGATTTCCCCCTAATGTAGACCTTCTTTTTGCTCACCTCCCCTACTTACTAAATCACATTGCACACTTCCTATTTTCTTATCTCTTTCACTTTAAATATCTTTCAGCAGATTATATTTTGGGATTATTTTTCCAAATATTTTTAAGCACTGAATATTGAACAAGCACTCCAGATTGAAGTATGTATCAGTCACATTTTATATATTTTTCACACATAAAAATAATTTTAAGTTTATCTTTTTTACTTGAGTACATACACATATGTATGTAAATGTAAATGTAAAATACTAATATTCACTAAGGCGTGTATATAATGAACAATCGGTTTAACTTTACTTTTGTAAATATGGTACATAAATATCAAGAAAAACACTTTTCCTGGCTCTTGGTTTGCTTGTTTTGAGCTTTTCTCACTGCAGTCTGCATCTCCATAGTCCAGTTCGGGTCAAAACTTTATTTTGAACAACTTTGTGTTGGTTATGGCAGTAAAGACAGGTTTTGAAGGCTGAAAAACATACAGAACTAGAGATAATAAAATAACATTCTTAGAAATACTGTTTTGTCTTACTCTGGACCGTTCTTTTCATGCATTGAGATGGGGTAATCTAAATAAAATAATCCTGTCTTTCAAGTAAGCTTAATAAACGTTACATTATAAATATCCTTTTTATATATTTGTGTCTTGCCCATTTAAATGTTAGTCAGCTTACTTTTTCAATTGTCGTTAACACTTTTTTTCCTACTAGCTACTTGAGGCTGTTACATCTACATGGAACTCTGAATGGAGGAGAAAAAAGAAAAGGAAAACTCAAAGAATTCACATGACGGTGTCTTGCTTTCTCTCCTGAGTTACAATAGTTAAGCAAAATCATCAAGCTTTAGGGATTTGGCTTCATTTGCAATCTTCGTAATATGCTTACCGACATTTACCATGTTTCCTTTCCTTCTTCTGAGTCAACTCTTAACTCTTTCTCCTCATTATTTAATATGTGAGTGTGCTTAGTCAGTGGTCATATTTTTCGGGTCCTTCAGAAGGTGGAATTTCAAAAGGAGTGGAAAGAAGAGTTTGTGAACTCTTTGGAGCTCTCACTGCATGACCTGCATGTGACCAGGGAAATCTAGCCCTGTACCTAATTTTAATTTCACAGTTAGATGTGAGAATTGTGGAAACTGAGTCCCACCAGGCTCTTCTCAGGTTTCTCTCATTTTCTTTCTCAGCTAACTCCAAGGATGTGTTTCACCTTCAACTTAATTCCTTTCTCCTAAAGGAGGGGAGAAAAGCCTTCACACAGCTCCACTGCTGTGATTTTCATTGTAGAGAAAAAATATTGTAAATAGAGACTCACAACTGGTTTCCATAAGAAAGAAAAGATCATAAATTTGTCTTGTTTAAATCCATAAAGCATTTTCTTTGCTTAGAACCATCATAAAAGTAAGCGATTTTCAGGCTCTGTGTATTTTTAAATTCCCCACATTTTACATTAGAGAGTTCAGTAAAGACTGTACTTGACTGTACTAAGAGCGTACGTGAACCATTGCCCGTGGAAAGGCAAGACTTTTTCTTCCTGCTGTTTAGTAACCATCTGAGTGTGGCATAGTGGTTGAGAGTATAGATTCTGGATCCCACTCCCAAGGTTGAAATCCTCTCTGCCACATACTAGCCGCATGACTTAATTAACCTCTCTGTTCTCAGTTTCCTACTCTGTACAATGGGGATGCTGGTACCTACCTCATACCTTGGCTGCAACCCAGCCACACATTATAGGTGGTGTCAATTCCAGAAGTGTCATAAAAAGAACAGGTGCTCACCTGTGATGTATTTGTATACAGGTCAATGTAAGTTAGACTTTTTTAAAAGCCAATAATTCAAAAATGTTTGAACTGCGGCATCACAGGAGTAATTTTATGGCCTTTCAAGATAACAACTTGGAAAGTGCTCTTTTTGTACCAAGGCCTTTATATTTCTTTAAAACAGTCCTAATGCTTTATGGTTAAATGTCATATACAAATATTTTTCAGGCTCTACCATAAAAAATTCTTATCTTGACAGGAAACTACTGAAGATTGTGTATAGCTTAAGAATAGTAAAATAGGATAACTATAGCCTTGGTTTTTATACATAAATCCTGCCATTCTATTTTTTACCATCAGATATATTTCTACTCCTTTCTTTGAAATATGCCAAGTATATCCAACTGCAGCATGCAATTCATTCATTTGTAACCAAGATGATACTTTGAAACATCCAGTTATAATCAGAGTAACAGTTGACTTGTTGTTGGTAGAACTGAATTGAAAATCATTGCAATTAATAAAATAGGGCTATTAGAAATGGAAAATGAATAGGAACTAGAATGTAACTTCATCATCACATAAATGCTGAGTGTCTTTATTACCAACACATGTTATTAGGAATAGACAAGATGTCCTTATACATGAGCAGCTTCTGTTGTAAAGATTATGTGTTTACTGATAAGAAAGAAAGTTTTCTGAACTGGTATTCTGAGTGAGTCTACAGAGGATACTTTAAAACCAGTGAGATGCTACAAAATGAGGAGGGAGAGACAAGTCCCCAACACTATCATTTTGTAATTCTTGATGTTTATTTTTAAAGTATATTTTATACCCTATTTTAATTTTAAACATCCATAGCCACTTCTTGGATGACTTCTATTTTTCCTAATCGATATCTCTATATTTTCAAGGCCTACAACTAACTCTTTAGACACATTACTCCCTCTGTATCTCAGCATCCCATAATGTTTGATAGTAAAAATAACAGAGCATGTAAATTATATTAATATATTTTAAAATATATATATAAATATAATGCTATGGGACCCACCATCATCCCCTCCCCCTTCCTCCTGTTCTCTGTATCTTGCAAATGGCAGCATCGATCAACAGCCACGTGCCCAGGTCAATCATTCTCTCTTGTCTCCATTACCCCAGCAGCTTCTGACTGGTCTCTGGCCTCTGGTCTTGCCCTCCCCAGTCCAATCTCTGTATTGTGCTGCAGTGCGGACACAGTGCCTTTTTGTTGTCACCATGTTGTTATTGTTTTCAATTGTGGTAAAGTAGACATAACATAAAATGTACCTTCTTAACCATTCTTAAGTATACAGTTCCATCGTGTTAAGTACATTCATATTTTTGTGCAACCAATCTCCAGCACTCTTTCATCTTGTAAAACTGAAACTCTATACTCGATAAATAATAACGCTTCATTCCTCTAGCCCCTGGCAACGACCAATATACTTTCTATGAGTTTGACTACTCTTGGTACCTCATAGACATGGAATCATACAGTATTTGTCTTTTTGTGTCTGGTTTATTTCACTTGGCATAATGTCATCAAGCTTCGTTCATGTTTTAACGTGTGTCAGAATTTCCCTTCTTTTTAAGGCTGAATAATATTCCGTTGTGTGTATATACCACATTTGGTTTATTGTTTCATCTGTCAATAAACAAAGCATTGCTTCCAGCTTTTGGCTATTGAGAATAGCGCCATTCATCTGCTTAAAACTCTGTGATGGCTGCCCATTGCTGTTGCCACAAAATTCCATCTCCTTAGAGAGACTGTCCAAGGCCCTGCAGGATCCAGGCCCTGCCTACTTTCAGACTCACCCTAACACTTTTCTTAGCGTAACCTCTCCTTGTTCGGCTCTGGGCGTTCCTGCAGGCTGTTTCCCTGCCTGAGCCCCTTCCCTGGACTTGGTCCCTGGGTTAGTCTGGGTCCTCTGAGGAGCAGACTCCAGGAAGGGATTCAATGTGCAAAGATTCTACTGGGGGAAATGCCCATGAGAGAAAACGGGAGGGAGCCAGGTCGGGCTGAGAGGGCTGTCAGACCGACGTGAGGCTGACCCCAGTGAAGGAGAGAGAGGAGAAATGTTGGGTGGAAGCCCAAGTCTGCACCAGAGGTGTCTGGTATCTCCCAGGAACAGGCCTGCCTCAGTATCCCTTCTGCACTCGGTCATTGGCCAGGAGGCAGCGGGAGGCATAGCCTCAGCGCAAATGGATGTATTGCAGAGCACAGCGCGCACCTGCCCAATTCTGCTGCTGCATTGGGAGCTGTGAGGTGCACTCTTTGGGTTGCATCGTTCTCATCTTCACCGTGTTATGTGTGCTTCTGCTACTAGATCGCTTTTTTTTTTTTTTTTTTGAGAACAACCAATAGCATCTTATTTATGTTTGGTTCTTAGCACTTTGCATAGTATTCTTTTATATAACATGTTCAGATATTTGTGTTCTACATGTAGAAATAGAGATATTCAGAATTTGTTTTCTGTTATGGGTGACTTTTGTATACCTTTTGGAAGGTGCATATTTTACAGCATAAAGCACAATATCTAATCTCCCCTTCCAGAGGAGGGTCTATGCTGGCTCTCAGGGCCCAGGATGGGGGACAGTGTCCTGGGGGCTGGGTTGGGACTTGATGAGGGGAAGGGACGTGAGATTGGAGAGGAAGCTGCTTGGGGAGAAGCAGATCACCCAGGAGAAGGGTCAACGTGAAAAGCCTGGGCGGAGAGAGAACGGAGGCCTGAGTCACAGGACCCGAAGCCGGCAGAACCGAGAGCAAACAGAGATGGGCGTTGGAGAGGCAGAGGCTGGTGGAAACATCTTAGTAAAGGTACAGACTCAAGTTGGACGCAAAGAAAGTTGTAAAACTAAGTTTTATCTGGAAAAGAGAGTTTTTTTTTTTCTTTTTACTCTTCCAAGCATATAAAATGAAGATTTAAAAAAATTTTTTTTGGACAAAATGTGTTGGCTTGGGTTTCAGCTGGACATACTTCTCTCTAACGTGGCATCTGATAGGGTAATTTGTGCAAAGTACTTAGCTCCCTGCTCCTAATCATACAAGGCTGTGTTTCGGGGGCGGTGGCTTTGGCCTCCAATCCTAAAATGTCTTCAATCACTGAAGTCACTGTGTATGAGAACCATCGGAGATGCCTCCATCTATTTCTCTAAATGTGTTAGGATGCCCCACACCGAATCCACACCTCCCTACACCCAGTCAGACCTGCTTAGGAATCAGTAATGCTTATTCAGTACAAAAATGTCTAGCAGCTACAAAAATGTCTAGCTGTGTACTGGGCAGAAAAATGCACGGACCTTCCTTCCCTGCAGGAGTTGAAGATCAAGGAGAGCATGGAGGATGCTAAACTGCCCTTGCTTGGAGCTGCGAGG